TCAGCTTGGCTTCTCATAGTGTTTTGAGGCTCAGTTTTATGGCCTACGTTCATGAGCAAACACATCAGAAGTGCGGCTAACTCCAGGCCAAAACTGCGATATTGAAGTCAGTAATGTACAGATAAAGAATTAAGATGCATGATTAGAGATTCAGGTGTAAAAAGTAAGTTAAGCTCTCTTACCTCACAAATATTGGGATGGACTGATGAAGTTACTTGAAAATGTGAAAGGGCTTAAAACTGCCTTTTAAAATAGACATCCCCAATTAACCCTTCATACAACATGCAACACGCTTCAAGCAGAATATTTAAGTAGCATGTCGGTCACCAGCTAGCAATGGCCATCGAATTTGTTCGATTATTATATGCTAATAGTACAGCTTTATCTGCTCTGGATCCTCCCTGTGCCTTCAAAGTCCAAGCACACCATTATTGGTCTTGATTACTAGTCGGTCTCTTTCTTCAATTCTAGAGACTGATAGGACGGCGTAAGAAAACAAACAGGGCGATGAAAACTAGCGATTGTAAATTATCGTGCTCGTGTTGCGCTGCTATTGGTTGTACAGAAGTAGCGCACGCGAATTGTACAATGAGGGGGAAAAAATTTGCAAGTGAATAAGTTCTGTCCTATTTATCCCTAGAAAGTTGAAAAGACTTATGGACGTTGACAGCGATGTGAGTGTTTAGTTAGAGTGTTCTAGTTAAAGGGATTGTTTGGCTCTGCATGGGAAACTCAAGGAACATGGTTTCTATGACCAGCACCGCAGGAATTAAAAGAGGTAAACCTTTCCATTTCTTTAGCTTAGTTCGCTTAAATTAGGCTTTTATAAAAATGGACGATAGAAAAGACTGGCCATGTTACGAAAATAGAAAACCCCGTTTCTGAGGTCCCGAAAATGTATTAAATGCCATTAGAAAAAAAAAAAAGGGGTTCTCGGTAGGAAAATCTAATTATTAAACTTTTTTAATCATTCAACCTCTATTTCTATGTTTTGTGCATTTTTCTTTTTAATTAGCACGCAAATACTTGATCGTGCAATGAATGGCAATTAAAAATTAATTCATCGTCGGCTATTAAATATATATATAGTATGATATAATATATATATATATATATATATATATATATATTATATATAATAATATATAGTATATTAACACACAAACATAACATAAACTGAACAAAGAAACTGGCAACCTTTTAAAGCATAGGTTAATGTTTCAAGAGTAGATTGTATGCTCTTTCTCTTTTTCCTTTGTTGAAAATAATAGAAGATCTTTTGTAGACAAACTAAACAACTCTATTCTACGGCCCCAACTTTTCGGAGTTTGAAGGCAAACTTCTTATCATGATACACTAGTAGAAAAATATAGATCCTAGACGGATCAAAGTAGACGAAAATGTTTCTAGCCAATTTGTCTCCAACTAGATGAAAAAATTTCGTCTAGTTTGAGACAATCTAGACGGAATATTCGGTCTTGATTGCCAAACTCGATGGATATCTTTTTATTTTTTTAAAAATATGAGACCCACCCACCTAGACGAAAATTTCCGTCTAGATTGGCGGGGCCCAATAAAAAATAAAACCCTAAAGTTTGAGCAGTCGTGGCCCCCCTCATTCATTTCTCTCACTCGCCCACAAAAATGCGCTTGCTGCTAAGA